GTGAGAATTATTTTATTTTGTTTTATTTTTATTATTGTATTACTTCCCTTCTACGTGACTTTACCGAAAGAACCAAGAAGATAGCTTTTTTATATTTATTTATTTTCACCTACATGACTTTACCGAAAAAACCTAAGAGTATGATTCCTAGGCAGTCACGAAAGCTTCAAATCTAGAACGCCTCGTTCTGCCAGCTATTTCTCCTATCGGCCGAGACACGATCGGCCACTTCAAACCTTTACAACAAAAAACACATTTCTATAACATCCTCTTGCCGCCGGAGCAGTGTCAAACTCAGCTTTGCGTAAAAAAAAACCGAACAGGGGTGGGGAGGTGAGGTGTAGGGTGAAGGCGAGATAAGGGGAGTTGTGCGTGTGTACTGGTTGTAAAATCAATGTGAGCAACCATCCCGAACTTAGCTTATGAAGGAAAAAAAAGTGTCCGTTTGAAGCAAAGCAGATGATGCTGCCATTTCGTCCTTGCCTATGTTACACGCGTATGTATTAGCACGTAGCGTCCGGTGCGTGTCCAGGAATGTCAGGGTTCGTACATATTCACTGCCAGGCTGACAGCACGAACTGCAGTGTGTAACCACTCGAACGCCGTATATATACAAAAACTGTAAAGTACACGGGATTATCATGAGACTTCACATGCGAGCAGACGTAACTGCATGTGTAAAGCGTGCGCCTACAAAAGGTGGAACGGTGAGTGGAGTGGTTCGTGCAGTGCGTTGATTCTACAAATGTGGCCATCTGAGTTCTTTTACAATCCGTGGCTAAAACTAACATCACCAAACTAACATCACCGGTCACGAGTGAACCGGTCCTGGGCAACCCCTTTGCACCACTTTGGTGAAGTATGGCCGAACGACTTCCCATTACCCAACACTGTGTGGGGGAATTTTTGATCCAACAGCGGATTGAAAAAGGTGTAATAAAGTAACAACATGTACAGGACGGCTCTCCCATGTGCCCTCGAGTTGTGCCGCATATTCCGCGCGGTGTCCGATGTCTCGCTCCACCTACTGGGCGCTTCGTCATGAACGGGACTGCATTAAACGTTCCCTGCACGTGGAGCGAAACGTCGGACATCATGCCGAACAACACGCGCCACAACCAGAAAACATCGCGGAGAGCTACGCAACACAACGGCGCAGTCGTTACAGCGTACATCACACGCTGGGCACGAGCTCTGTCACAAACGGGGAAATTATATTCACTGTGAGAATCTGTGCTGAGTCGCTTTTTTGTTGTTCGTCGATGACAACGTGGACACCGAAGGAGATGACAGCTTTCAAAATGTACTAAACTCCAAAGCAAAACGGAGCAAAAAAAACACTTTTCAACAATGTCCCGAAACGTACACACGTGTGTACGTGTCGCTGTTTAGCGCCTGTGGTGCTGTGTTCTTTTTTTTCCGCCAAGTTATAAATGTTTTAGTCACTCTCCGAAGAGAAGCCTCTGACCCTTGTTGACCTCGTGCTCGACGCCCACGTGATCACCAGTCAGGTTCACCTCGTGACGGACCAGGTGATGGTAGCTGCCACCGCGGTGGTGAGATGTTAACTACCTCGCCTGGTACACAGCCTCATGGGTTCGATCCCGACTCTGACAATGTGTATTTAAAGTTTGCATGTTCTCCCCGTGGTCGCGTGCATCTTTTTCCGGGCTCTCCGGCTTTTCCCTCCACACTTAGAAACACGCCTTTTAGATTATTTGGCTGATATTAATTGATGCACAATAAGCCACTTGATTGGGCCCAGTCGCTGCTGGAAAAGATCTATATAGTTCAGTGGGCCCTACCTGGTAAAATAAAAATGTTTAGTTTTAAATTAAATTGAAAATGTTTTAGCATAATGGGCTCATGACAATAAACACCAATATTTTTTTTTCACTAAATGTGACCATCCTCTCAGTGTAGATATCTCCATTTAGGCTACTAACTCTGTGGGGTAAATAATCACGCCTCTCTTCAAATAGAACAGTTTTACATATCTGTCTAAGGCAGGGGTCGGCAACCAAAATAACAAGAAGAGCCATTTCTTTCCAATTCGGTACAAAATTCAGTATTTCAAGAGCCGCAATGCATCTGAGTACATACGTACTCATCGTCAAGAAGCAGCCCGTAAAGAGCCGCATGCGGCTCCGGAGCCGTAGGTTGCCGACCCCTGGTCTAAGGAGCTATTTTTTTTCTTACTCAGGTATAAAATTCTAACTAAACAGAATCACACACACACCTGCTCGACTTTGGAATCCCCTCCCATCTTCTGTTTTTCCCAACTTCTTATCAACTTGCTCAATTCAAGAAACGTATTCACCCTTATCTGTTGTTCCTTCAGTAGCGTGGCGTTTTGCGCGTTTGGAACTTGTGCTTAGCAACCGTCGTTTAAAAAAAAACCTTAACATTTAACAACCACGGCAAGAACAGTTGCTGATTGTGCATATATGCATCTTGAACGGTAGCCCAATGAGCCGTGACCCATCCCAAAACAACCCGTTGTTGTGCCGGTGTTCATAGAAAAGCGTTTTCGTTCGAAAGTAAATTAGGGTAATTCATCCTGATTATCCATTGCGACCATCTGTTCACAAGTAAAGCACTGCGAGTTATCGCGGCATGTGATACTGTAACTGGGCGTCAACATAAAGGTGTCATCAACATGAAGGTAACATCAATAATTATAGGCAGCAGTGTGAGCTCGGTCTATTAAAGCACACGCCACTAATTCGTGTCGTGTGAGTCTCAGATTGCCGTGGTGCTGGCCGCCCACCCCCTCGTGTGCCGTGCCGGCCTTCACAGGTGCTCGCTAGCAGCGCTTGCCCCAACAGTCTGTTAAGGCTACACGGAGGGGTAGGATCTTTGGTGTTGGTCACACGCTGCGTATCGAGATTTGAGAGTTCCACGCGTGTCGCCATCACATGGGCTGTGATGGTTCCAAGCACATGTACTTGCCGTGCTGTTGCAGATCACTGGAGGTCGACGGTTCCACAAAAATAAGTGACGTCCGGTATATAATGAACGTGTCCACACGTATTTTGTTGCACGGATCGCCGGTGGCGAGATATGAACTACCTCACCTGGGGTACAGGAGGTCGTGGGTTCGATCCCCACCCTGACGCCTGTATATTTCCCGCACCTCCGATTAGCGCGGTTGGCTACGTACGGTGCGAATGAAGTTCAACACACATTCGTAATTAAAACGCTACGTACGTACGGAACGTTAACCTTAGCTTTCAGCTAGACATAACCTATTAATTTAGTGCCAGTTGCCCAAATGTATCGAAAGTAAGTTAAATAAAAAATACCTTTATTCATGACCAGGTAAGAGCCCATTGAGCCTCCACATCTGCGATTTCAGCCCTTTTCTCAATCCAATACTTGACGAAGGCCTCCCTGCGTCGTCGGCTTGAGTCGTCGGGTGTTGTGTGTCTATACTTCACCACGCCGGTCAGCGCGGAGGGCAGATTCCCACTCGCCACGTGGCCTGGAATCGCACTCACACGTGTCCGGGCTCAGAGCGCGATGCGCTCACGACCCCGAATCGCACCGCAGCCTCCTCGCCACGTTTAAAGTGCGGCAGTCAAATTGAAATGCGCTCAAAGCTAAACGGGTGAAACACCGCTTGAGAAAATATGTGCGCGCGGCGAATATTAACAATCACGCCTTGAGATCATTTATGGGAACGTTGATTTGAAACTTTCGTGACTTTACCGAAAGAACCAAAGAGTATTTATGGGAATGTTCACGCGTCCGAGGGGGCATCTATCGCGAGAGATGGAGCGGAACAAATACGTGAGCTCGTGTGCAGATTGCTGTGGATCAACGTTGTTATTTTTACGATATCGAACAATCGAGAGATTCCGGCGGATTTGGGAAGGTTCTTCATCGTCCAGCGGCGGATTGACCCGTGGCCAATCATCACGATGTCTGACGCTGATTAGTTTCAACTAAACAGATGTATTACAAACATACAAACGAATGGCAAAAAAGGGCACCCAACATCCGCACAGGTTAACCCGAACCCAGCACAAACCCACGCCACCCCTCACCCACACTCCGTTGCCTATCCTTAACAGGGGGAGTTTTTTTTGGTTAATGTTGGTTCAGATTTTTCTTTTTTTACCCGCGCCAAAGCCCGCCGGCGGGAGTCTCGGGCGGGAAGAGAGAAGGGAGGAGAGGCGGGCAGGGGGCAGGGGGCAGGGAGGCGGAGCAGGGCAGTCGTGGGGGAGGTTCTTCTCCTGTTGAGCTGGGAGGGATGGGGGTTGCGATGGGGTTCGTGCTTGGGGTGACGGGGTGGAGGGGTTCCTTGTGGTGGAGTGGGGCACTGTGGGGGTTGGGCACTAGCGGCGTGGATTGTTTTTTTCGGTGGCCGGTAAGAGAAGCTGCTGTAACAATTGCCGGACGATCGCGACTTCTTCTTCTTAGTAGTATTGCTCAATCCAAAGGAAACGTATCCGCCCTCAAATCTATTGCACCTCGAATGGTGGCCGTTTGTCACTGACCGCTTGGCCGTGGTGAAAGAAAAACAACACGCAGAGAGAGAGAGAAAGAGAGTGGGACCCGATAGGAGAAGAGCTTTGCTTCAAACGCTGCTCCCTCCCCTCCCGTTTGGCTTTAGCTCAGACTCTGCCCATTGGCTCTCTCTGTCTCTCTCTCTCTCCCCTCCATCAGCACACACACACAGAGTGGGGGTCCGGGTGCTGGCGGTGTGTAGGAGCAAGAGGGAAAAGGGGGGGGGGGCAGTCGACGCTTGGAGAGAAAGTTCGTGACTTGGGGTTTGTTCACTGGCCCCCCCCACCACCACCACTCCCTTCCTCCTCGGTGAGAGGAGTAGGCTGAGCGGGGAGGAGTTGGAGGAGTTGGAGGAGGAGGGTGGTGGTGGTGTCACTGTGTGGGGCGCGTGTTGTGTAAATAGATGACGCGCGGCCAGCGGTGGGGGTTGTAAGCGGGGCTGACGTGGGGAGGAGCTGGTGGTGCTGGTGTGTGGGTGTGTGTAGGGGCTGTAAGGGGGGTGGTCTTTCTACTCGCGTCTCGAGTCGTAAACAAGACGACGACGCTGGATCGAGAGGCTTCTCTCTCCTCCTCCTCCCACCACCTCCACTTCGTGCGCCAGAGACGAGCGAGTGCGGAGCGAGTTGGTGGGAAGAGATCATCACGAGAAATTGTACACGAGAGCACGATTTTCGGATTTAAAAAATAACCTTTGACGGCCGACGTTCAATTATTCCGTGTTCGAGCTTCCAGCAGCAACAACAAAATACAAGACGAGGAAGAGAAAAGAACCACACGCACACGAGAGAGAGAAAGGTACGTACATCGCATTTTCGATTTGTCAAGAGCCACATTCAGCTGCACAAACTCCCCCCGCCGCGCTGCGCTGTGACCGAAAGAGACGTCTCTGCTTGTGTGCTGCTGCTGCTGTTGTTATCGTGGCTTTGATAACGACGTGCGCACAAACAGCGGCGCATCATCACCATCTTAACCATCATCACCATCATCATCGTGGGGCTCCCACCACTCACGGCACCCCCACAGACGCGTGCCCCGCCGCGGCGCTCATCGCGGATGAGACGCGCGGACTCGTCGAAGCAGCGAGCCTCGTCCATAGGCACGGCGCGCTCGGCTGCCGCCTCTGCTGCTGTTACTGCTGCTGCTTTAATATGGGTCCATCACAGCACACAAGGGGTTTGAGAACTGCTGCTACTGCTGCTGCTGCTTTAATATGAGTCCATCACAGCGCTCAAGGGGTTTGAGAACTGCTACTACTGCTGCTACTACTGCTGCTGTTGTTGTTACTGCTGCTGCTTTAATATGGGTCTACCACAGCACACAAGCGGTTTGAGAACTGCTACTACTGCTGCTGCTACTGCTGCTGTTGTTGTTGCTGCTGCTACTGCTGCTTTAATATGGGTCCACCACAGAGCGCAAGTGGTTTGAGACCAACTTCACTGCTGCTGCTACTGGTGCTGTTGTTGCTGCTGCTATTGCTGCTGTTGTTGTTGCTACTGCTGCTGCTGTTGTTACTGCTGCTACTGCTGCGAGTGTCGTGTCCACCACCGCTACCACCCCGGGGGGGGGGGGGTGGGGTCGCGCGTCCTCCCAGAGCGGGTCTCGTAGCGCCACAGGCGGCAGCAGCAGCAGCGGGAGCCGCGTGAAGTCTCACGGGGGGGGGGGGTCGCATCTTGGCACCGCTCCTCGCCTTGCGGTCATCTTCGCCGTTTGTGTACTGATCTTGTTCCTTTATGATTCACGGTGGCTGTGCACAGTCTCAAAACAAGCAGCACTCTTCTTGAAGCTGCGCGTTCGACGAGAGTCGAAACGTCGCTTGTATCGAGCCAAGATGATGATGATGATAGGAGCTGGAGTCGAGGGCTTGAGACCCTGCCGTGTGCCGCTAGAACGCGCCCGTGGATGAGACGAAACGGGCAGCCGAGCAGACCCGAGTCCTTGGCATGTTGCTGCTAGTGGATAGTGGTTGGAGGTGGTGGTGGTGGTGGTTGTGATGGTGGTTGGTTGGTGGTGATTGCTGGTTGCTTGTTGGTTGATGGTGGTTGTTGGTGGTGATGGGTTGAGGTTGGTTGGTGGTGGGTGGAGGTTGCGTGGTGGTGGTGGTTGTTGGTTGGTTGTGGTTGTTGGTGATGGGTGGAGGTTGTTGGTTGTTGCTGACACCACATCTCGTTCCTCCACCAGCAGCACACAGACAGTCGCGAGGCATCTCGAACCTCCCTCCACACATTGCGCGCTCCTCCTCGTCGCCTTCTTCTTCTCCGCCACGGACATGGAGGGCGCAGTCGGAGCCGGGGGGCTCTCGGCGGCCAGGGCATTGCTGGGCTCGCCCGGCAAGGAGGGCGCACGGCGGAATCTGTTCGGCACCCGCGTGGACGGCGCCGCACTGCGCATGGAACTGGACGAGCTTGCTGCGCGAATCTCTGGACGCGGCGCGCAGCCGCTGGTCGTTCGACGTCTCCTCGGAGACGCCCGTGCCGGGGGGACACTTCGAGTGGGAGGCGGCGAGGGCGCAGAGCATCCCGGCCTTCTACCGGGCTCGAGCCGCGAGCCGCAGCCGGCGGCCGGAGCCGGCCCGGTCGACGGAGACGCGGAGTCGCCCCCCCGGGGTCGTGGAGCAGACCTCGTCGCCCGAGGACGACGGCTGCGCAGCGGGTCCCGCGCGTAAGCGGAGGCGGCAGCAGCAGCAGCGGATAACTGGTGAGCGGTCACCTCGTTCGTATCGGCTCGCGTCCACCCCTCGCTCATCATCATCAGCAGCGGTATCCGTGATCACTGTTGGCTGAAGGCCGTCGCCTTCTCTCACGGCCATGCGATGCGCGGTGTTTGTGAATGCGCCTCGCAGCTGCGCACGTGCCGATTTCAGCGTCCCATCTCGTCCGTGCGGGTGTACCACCAGTGTGATGATATGTGGCTACAGTCAACCGGGCTGAGCGGCTGGCTCTGCGCGACTGCTGTTATCTCTAACAGATATGACCTTAGCCCTGACCCATACGTTTAGCCATAAACCCGAACCATAACCCTGACAGATGACTGTAAACTAACAGTGAGCGTGACGTCTTCTTCTTCTTGAGCGTGTTTGGTTTTGTTGCGTAACATTACTCAGCGTTATATTATTCACAATGTGTACACATTTATTCAGATTTTTTTATGTATATTGCCCAAAAGCCTTTGCTAATTCTCATGCTCTGCCTTTACCTACTTTGTATCATTCCTGGGAATCACGCATTCGATATTGTAATTGTGATTCCTTATTTTAAATAATTATAATAATTATCCCAGAGCATCATATGTACGTTCACTCTCGTATGAGTACATTTATTTGTAATTCAATACATTAAATTGTTATAATCAACATCCCTGGGCATCACCTTACATTCACTCTCCGTATTTTATCAGCACATGTATGTGTAACGTAATATATTCATGAGCAAAGTGATTGTCAATGGAACATTTTAAGATTTGACCAGGACCTCCGCTCGAGTTTTTTAGTAAGAATCATCTCACCTGTAACGTTACAGACCACAGATGCTTCCCACGAAAGCAGTTTATAGCTGAGGCACAGCAATGACATCAGCAGTTTATCGTAAACAGGTCAGGACTCAGGGAGACAACAGCTCTCAATTGCCTTGGTGTTAGAGGTGGGCAGAGGTCGCAACCGGGTACCCGATAACCGTACCCTACCCGATACGGTGCGGCCGGGTACGGGTAGCCGGGTAGGCCGTGAGTCACTGGTGAGTAACCGTTTGTCACTCATTTCCCAACGTCTTGTCTCTTCTCACAATTCAAGTTCCTAGAATCAACCCACCCGCGCCTGCAACGTGGCTTCATCCCAGAGGTCGCAATCAGGTACCCGATACCCGTACCCTACCCATACCCGGCCGGGTACGGGTAGGGTATGGGTAGGGTACGGGTACCTGTTTGCGACCCTGGTGCGGCCGGGTACGGGTAAGGAATCAAAACCCGTTTGCGACCTCTGGAGGTGGGGCAGTGGCATAGTGGTTCGTGCACTGCGTTACGAGCCCAGCAACCTGCGTTTGATTCTCCGGTTCTTGGTTCTCTCCCACCCCCGTTCACCAACCCACACGGACCAAAGTGGTGAAGTATGGTCCAGCGACCCTTATCATCAATGCGGTGTGGGGGAGCCCTTCATCCGGCAGTGGGTTGAGAAAAAATAGCTGTGCAGCACAATTATCATGATTAACTTACTATATTCTTGGTTCTTTCGGTAAAGTCAAGTAGAAGGGAATTAATAAAATAATATAAATGTAAAACAATACAAATTCTCACGACATTTCGACTGCAACACAAGCAATCATCAGGTGTGAAATCCACAGAAAGAAATGTATTATAGCATTGCAGTCGAATCGTCGTGAGAATTTTTTATTGTTTTACATTTATATTATTTTATTATTTCCCTTCTACGTGACTTTACCGAAAGAACCAAGAATATATGAATCCCTGCAGTCACGAAAGCTTTAAATCAAAAGATTAACTTACTGTTCACGAGTCATTTAGTACGCAGTCTGTGATGCACCAACCACAGCAGAAGAATCAGTGTTGGTTATCAGCATGTTAAAACTTCACATCATGCCTCGCTCACGTGAAACAAATCCCAACATAATCGAAGCGGCAATTTATTACGGCATTTGCATGCACGTCGCTACGCGCTTAAACTTAGCATCGCAAAACGTCTCAGAGATGACCGGGAGTGCATATCAAAAACGAATGAAGCGCTGGGCGCAAATTGCACACGTTTCAAAGGCCTCTCCTACCCGCCTGCCACTTTTCAGATTTCTTCACGAGCAAGAAGGTGAAGACGTCCCCTGCCAAGCGAGTGGCACAGCCCACCCAGAGGCCAGCGGCGGCTACAGCAAAGCGGCCAGCGATGTGACTCTCACCACCTACCCACCCGACCTGCCTGGACCCCTTTACCTGCCCGACTTCCCGGTGTCCACGGCAACACACGGGGGGGTGGAGGGTGGGGCCGTAATTATGCACGAAACGTTGGACTTCAATCAGAACAGCATTTTGTTTGTTTGTTTGTTATTAAATTATTATTATTATTATTTGTTCATAAGTTCAGAAACAACATTAAGTAAACATACAAGGTTGTTGATACCTGTATTATGATTCTTCCCATGCCAGGGAATGTGTGTAAATACCAAAGAATGTGGGTATTTTATTATATAACACAACGGGAAATAATGACACTATACAACTTATCTGAAGGAAGCTCGCACGTGTGTGTGTGGGCTGTGGGCAGTTCTTCATGCTTCCGGAGTCCCTGACTCTCTGCTCGCAATCATGAATGGCTTTCGTGACGGTGGGCAGGCCCGGGTGAAGCTACGTGGCCACCTTGGGGTGCGACACGGATGTCCTCTGGCTCCCACATTATTTTCCATCATAGTTCGAGAAGCTTTCCATGGCTGTACCTGAGGAACTGATCCTGGACCTTGCCTAGGTCGATAATAAGTACGTGGTGCGGTGTGTAAAATCATCGCCACTGGGGAGACAGTGTTCAATTTAAAGTGTGTTTATTACACAGCACTGATATACACGTTGGAGTAGAGCCAGTGAAGTTAAAACGACTGAGTTTGTGGTAAAACTAAGCCTTTTAAGCGACAATAACAGGATCTATGTTTTCGCAGAGCATACACTTTTCCCTCCGTAACTTTTATCTGCCAATAGCCTACGCTACAATTAGCGCCGAGTTCCCAATTAAAGCAGCTATTTTATCTGGGCATTATACAATATTAGGATTATTAAAATATAGACCTGAATTTGGTATATATTTCAAGATGCAAATATATTGACATGAGCTAGCATAAAACACGTAATAACATTATGCCCTACATTGTGTAGCCTAATATAAGTAACAATTGCCAGACCACTGCAAGTGTATAGTGTCCCTTGAAAGACTACCTGTCAGGAAAATGTATTTAGCGTTTGTGCTATATTTCTGTGTCTTTTACATATAAATACGTTGTGCACTATTGTAAATTTACAGCGTTTTTGTAATAAAGTCACAACTTGTTTTCTTTACATACACAGCATATATCTGGTGTCATATTTCAATGTCGCCTTCAGGGGCTATGGATATTCCACCACATAACACCGTATTCGCCAGATTATAAGACGCTCCGGAGATGCAACTGAAACGTGTGCCCAGTATCAATACAACTCTGCAAGTTTGCTTACATAAGCTCACCAGACTGTGAGATGCACCAAAAGCTTTTGGTTTAAAATACAGGGTGGGAAATCGAGTCTTCTAATCCGGAAAATATGATCATTAAGCAAACCTCACTGAGTCAAGACTTGTTATCTATCAGCGGGTCCTGCATTTCGCCCATTCCATGAATAAGAGTTACATCTGCATATTAGAGGAAACTGGAGAACCCAGAGACGCTACTGGACGTCTGTGCAAAAGAGCTTTGTAGCTCATCGGATTCCTCCCTTACAAATAGCGATTCTGACGCTACCACACCAGGGGTCAGCGACCCGCGGCTCCGAAGTCACGCGCGGCTCTTAAAGGACTGATTCGTGATGCTAATCATACGCACTGCGGCTCTTAAAATATAAATATATTTTTTAACGAATTTTAAAAATGCCTCGTTATTTTGGTTTCCGATCCCTGCACGATGCGTACCAGGGAGGTAATAATCAGTACTGCCATCTCCTGGTCACACCACGCTAGTTCCACCCCACCCCCTGATCACCCATTCAAATACTGTACTCGACTAACCAGACTCAGCCTTGCTTCGGAGAGTGACAATTCACGGCGTGTTAATACCAAGCAGGACCAAATGTATCACCCAATATTCTCCGTAATGCTGCTTCGGCTGGCTTGGAGTAGCGAAGACTTGAGATAAGGCACTGCCACTGGAGTGCAAGATAAACCAATGCATGATACTCTTTGGTTATTTCGGTAAAGTCACATAGGTAGAAAAATAATAGATCACGACGTTTTGATCGCAACACAAGAAATCGTCATCAGGTGGGACAACCACAGTAAGAAAAAACTGCTCAAGTAGATCCAATCCATGATGCTAGACTATTGTACCATATATGCCATTAATCATATGAACAGCTTTCCAGTAAGTTTAGAATGGCATTTTTTCAAAATGCTATAATACATTGTAGACCGATAGAGAAGAAAAGGGATGTATGTACGTCAATTTTTTTTCCCCGTTGTACGTAGCTAAACGTGTTAATCGGAGGTACGGGAGAAGGACAAACGAAACTCAAAAGGAATTTCTAAGGAAATGAGTTTTCAAACTAGCTTTACAAGCGCATAGCTCCAGTGGCTTCTTAACATCGGAAGGAAGAGCGCTTCTGATGGGCGCAGAAGCGCATCTGAAAGCGCGCGATGCGGTGACCGAGTTAGATGCTCAGCCAAGAGCATCTGCGAGGATGACCGGAGTTCACGTGATGGTTGTATGCCAGAGGTCGCAAACAGGTTTTAATTCCTTACCCGTACCTGTACCCGGCCGCACCAGGGTCGCAAATGGGTACCTGTACCCGACCCGTACCCTACCCGAAATGAGTGACAGTTACTCACCAGTGACTCACGGCCAACCCGTACCCGTACCCGGCCGCACCAGGGTCGCAAACGGCTACCCGAACCCGTACCTGGCCGGGTACGGGTAGCCGGGTATCGGGTAGGGTACGGGTATCGGGTACCCGGTTGCGACCTCTGTTGTACGCTACTTGACGAGATCGGCAAGGGATGGGGAGGAAAGGAGAGGGAGAGAGCGAGAACAAATTCTCGGGTTAATTAGACGCCTAAAAATAGATGAGTAGATTTTAAACAAACGACGCTTAAACCTTGTGCCTATATATGGCCGGGCAGTCCCGGGGGAGATAGGCGCAAGAGGCCGGCACAGCTGAGCAGCGATAAGTTTTTATCTCGGCGAACGTGAGCCCGCAAAGTCGCTTTACCACAACAACACAAACACTGCCGATGAACGGGCGGCAGTAACTGCAGTTAGTTTTTGTTTTCAAATGAGACATCGCACAAACAAGCGACGCTTTTGTAGATGTTACAGGACCAGGGCTTTATTTTAGGTGGAGCTGTCACGGGCTGAGATTTAGAAACATAAAGTTTATCTGGGTGCTTTTGGGGGTGAAGACGGGGGGAGGAGGGGGGGGATGCCTCGGAAAATATCCCATGCGAAATTACGCCCAGAAAAAAATTAGTGGTCCATTCATAGATGCCCGAGAAATCACGGAGAAAAAAAACGACATGTTACTTCAAAGCATTTGCACGTTTCCCGTCAAACTCGATACGCGAGGTGAATATATTTCAATCTCCTCTGTACGATATGGATCTATGGCTTTCGCAATATTCAATCGCCTGTTGAGAAGCAAGTTTGATGTGTATTGGTAAGCAGTGGGACATCTATACACTGATCACCCGACGTGTATTGGTGTGCTGTACTGAAATATGCCCCCACGGCCAGGCACGAGTTTGAAGCTTCGTTAATGACATAATTCATATTTTGAAAAAACTTTTTAAAAAACACGCTTTAATTAAATGTACCGTACTAGCAATGGAAGAACTCCACGACTCCAGGAAGTGGCCCCGAAGCTTGCCCCATAACGTGAGGGACCGTGGTCATTCACAGGCAACGTCAGTTGACCGTAGACAATTAGAGCCAAGGCGAAACATAATATATTTAAAAATGTTTTTAAATATTTTTGATTTTTTTTATGATATAATATAGTATTGTCATCACATATGACATAAGTATTCCAAGTTTGCAATCGATACCACATTGGGAAGTGGGTAAAACTTGAGTTAGAAGATTTGAGGATACAACAACAGAGTGAGTTAATACAAAGCGTGTAATAAACATCGTGTAGTAATACTAATAAAACAACATACCTTAACCATACGGCCAGGCCCTCCGCAACAGCGCTCCGTGACATAACAGCACGGATGTATTTTTAAACTACGGGATTGACACAGCGTGCCATATTGATGCGTGACCGTAACTTTATCAAGCATCAAGAACAAGTTGGAGAATCAGGCACTGTGTTGTTGGGCCAATCCCGTTGTAGTTGTTGTTGTTGTTTTACTGACGCGTGGTTTTACATCGTGTGGGTGGGAACCAAAGTGCCGAGAGAAACTCCTAGCACAGAATGTCCAGATACAGGTGGAGTGGACCATCAGCAGCGGTAGCAGCTGCAGCCTCACTTCCATTTGCGGGAACGTCGCTGCCCAGACCCACCGAGACCTCTGTGTTAAAGCGGCGGTGTTCATGGCCATGGCGGAGTTCAAGAGGTTCACGGTTCCATTCCAGAAGGTCCAGCACGTCACGCGCTTTCAGATGCGCTTCTGCGGCCGTCTGGAACGCTCTTCCGTTCCGGTATTAGGAAGCCACTGGAGTTGTGCACTTTTGCATCTGGGTTGGGAACGCATTTCTTTATGAACTGCGTTTTGTGTTTAGTTTTTTTGTCCTTCCCCCGCACGGATGGCTACGTACGGTGTGAAAAAAGTTCAACATACTGTACATATGTACATTACTGCATGTGTAATACACATAATACGAGGCGCTGTCCGCTTCGCGGTGGACATTAAACATTAACGGACCTCATTGCATTGTGTGCCGGCAATATGGTCCATATTTGCCAAATACGAAAGTTATCCACATATTGCTCGATTCGGATTTTCATAGCAATCATCGCCCCTTACTGGCAAATCAGCGGCTTTAAAGTAGAGTTGTTTGCTTCTATTTATCCTATGATTGTCGAGTATCTATACTTGAATCGCCGTCTACTGGGCTTCATTCCACATTTAATATCCTACGAGATGAACTGCCCTGAAAAAAAATATTTTCTAAATCTCAGCTTCAGAAAATTTCCAGCTGATATGAATGCCCCCTGGTCACCAAGCCTCTGGTCTCTTGAGGTCTCTTCTGGCTAAACAAAGACATCTTGAAACTCGCGTCATCACCAGAACCCGGTAAGCCGTTCGACACGAATTGACGGCGACGTCACCACGGCGCCCGTGCCAGGCCAGGTGCACTTTGAGGTCACGTGAAGTGTCGAAGGCTCTAGATTTGAAGCTTTCGTGTCTGCAAGGATTCATACTCTTTGTTTTTTTCGGTAAAGTCACGTAGGTAAAATATAAAATAAATGATGCAGCTGCATCAGCAGCAGGCCATGCTTTCCCACCTGATGACGGACGCTTGTGTTGCGCCCGAAACGTCTTGATTTTATTTAGTTTTCATTTATTTTATTTTTTATCTACGTGACTTTACCGAAAAAAACAAAGAGTATGTCGAAGGCTCGGCTGACAGGAGGCCGCTCTTCGCCAATGACCCTCACTGCCAGCCGGTGGCGCCACGCAGTGGCAAGCCTGAGGATTGCATCGCGTTCGTTGGACGTTTCGTGACTCGCTGAACACACGTCAGTTGAACACTGGTCCATCTGAATGAGTGTTGTGCCCTCACACGAGTGCGTTTTAATCTGGGTGCTCCGGTGTCCTCCCACAAGTAAACACTCGTGAATTGGCCGATAACACCTTAATATATATAGAGGACCCCAGAGCTTTGACAATTGTTCGGCTCACCACGTTGTTGCTCGCGCCTCTGAGTCGTGATCTATCTTCAAGAGTGAGTGCATGCTGTGGCTGCAGCGCCCGTTACAAGTTGAAATGAAATATTGTTATCCAGGCTCAACTTTGCTTAGCTTCCGAGATCTGACGAGGTTGGGCACATTCCGGGAGATTTGGTCACGGCATGTAACGTGCTGAACGTAGGTTAATGAGATTTAGCACCTTCTTGTAAACATGAATTTACAGCTCCGCTCTTTAAATGTGGCCCGGCATATTGTGACCACTCTGGGTTTGTTCAAATGTCTCTTTAAAATACAGCTGGCTTTTAAAGAAATCCGGCTGAAAATAAATCCACCGGGTCATCTGGGGACACTTCCACGAGGTATGTAACGTGTACCACCATGACCCTGAGCACCAATTTTGAGCCGACTGTATTCAAAGTGAACATCTGAACGGAGGCATGCACACACAACCAAAAATGATTGT